CAAACACAAATCAAACTTTAAATCAAGGAAAAATCCACATGATGTGGTGTAGTATGTACTAGCAGTTTATTGTTCTTGATCTTTCTAAAGCTCTCTGTCCTTTGGGTGTATTGCATCATGGCACACACCTGCCACCTTGGCCAACTAAAGCCTCTCCAGCACAGTGCAGATATTCTTAAAGTTAACATTCAGTTTTTTGTTGACTTCTGTTTTTTTTTAATGACACATGTTAGAATCCTTTTGGAGTCATGGAACACTGTTCCTTAAAAGGAACTGATTTTCTGAGACATATTTATGCATCTAGCTCATGTATTAGGCTGTGATCATGACATACTGTTGTGGCCCAGCTACAACAAACAGACCTCACAACCCTCTAGCATCCTGAAAAAAATGCTACCTCTTTTAGCTTTGTCTTTGTGCACTCCTACAGAATAAAACATTTGTTCCCACCACTGACAGTAACAGATACAGTTAAAATTTGACTTATGAAGGACTTAGCTAGAAATTTTGTATAACCAAACAGTTGGTAGATAGCGCCTGAATTAGAGTTCTCAGCTGTGAAAAGCTGAAAGATGTGGGCTCCAGAGTGGCCACTGTCTGGCTCTTTTTTTCATATATTGTTTTCAGACATGGGACAGACTAAAATGAAAAGTCTGGTGATGCAAGATTATGATTTTTGGGAATAAGCTGGCCAGGTGTGCTGGCTTTGGTTTTCTCGTAAGGCTTCTTTGGCTAACTGCAATGCACTATTTGCAGATGATTTAATTCTTATTCCTGTTATAGACTGAGTTGCCATCAGCCTACGTTCAAGCAATACACTGTGAAGAAGTGAGTCACTAGCCGTTTTCATTTGAGAACCACACTGTGTTTATAATAAAGTGTATTATATCATGTGTGTGTCTATGCATTCTATTTGGAAATACAGTATATTCTGCATATCTATATACTATATGCATTATACAGAAACTTTAAAATATATACATGCATAATAAAAAGTATATATATCACATATGTATATCATATATATATGACACCATGACACTCCTTCTGTTAAACCTCCCCTTTAATGACATTTTTCATACATTTCAGATTATTGCTTCTATTTTTGCAATAGTCATTTCTCACTCTACTTTTGGGACAGCGTCTTCCTTTACTCCTGCCTAGAACCAGCCTAGAACCTAGAACCATGCATAACATTAAAACAATTGTTTTATGGACCTAATGGTTTTAATACTTTTATTTGAGATATCTGAGTTTATATGGAAATTTACATATCTGAATAACCTTGACATATTTCCAAGAATTTATCAAATTCACTATTGTTCAGATGGCAAAACTGGAACTCACCATGCAGGTAAATGTGTAGCTATTGACACAGGCTGACTTGACAATACTGCAGTAGTTTGTGGTGGGTTTGTGGTGTCCAGAAGCTATGCAAACCCAGCAGTGACTACTCACTTCTGTACCTGCAGTGTATGTCCACAGAGGGAGGGAGAAACCTCTTTGCAAAACTCGGCTTATCTATAGAGAGATGAGCAGAACTGAGTCATTTTCTCACCTTGTCGCACAGCAAAATGGATGATACATGTCTTAGGAGGAAATCGTCTGCCACGTGGAAACTGTTTCTGGAAGGTACTGCCAGCATTACACAAGGGCCCATGCATGTTTTTCTGGAACAGACCTAGGTAGGGAAATGAGCTACACAAAAGACTCAGAGGACTAGGTAGAAAAAGCAAATTTTTCTTCAATAAGCAGGTAGCAAAGTCTGAAAGTAACTCCAACTGGACAATAAGAAAGGGCATAGAGGTCCCTTTTGTCACCAGTCCAGCTGCCAAACACAGCAGCACACTGTGCTATGTCAGCCATGGGAGACAGGCCACTTGCAGCAGAACCTGTCTGGGACAGGTTTGGCAGTTGTACATGACCAGTATTGGTGCACAGGCAAACTTGATGTTCTCCAGAAAAGCAAAGCTTGCAAACAAGATTTGGGTTACACTTGCATCTCTTCAAGATTTGTGTGCAGATATCTGTTGGTGTTATTGGGATGATTAGCTTGTACTGTGTCAGCAAAAGCACCCAATACTTTTGCTGGACTAGGGCGTGGCTCCTGCGATTCTTCTGCCAATCAGCGATTCAAGGCTTCAAATACAGTCCTAGAGAGTACTTATCTCTAAAAGACTCAAACCATATAAACTACCTGGATTCTAATAAGGCAACAAAAAAAGAAAAAGCATTGGTTAGCAGTATTCATGGCAAACACAGTGCTTTGTAGACCACTAGTTAAGTATTTACCATCTTGTAAAATCTGATGAGCTGTCTTCATTGTCTATGTTCCTTTATCTCTTGCCCTGTTCTTGGATGAGGAATGTAGGGAACTTTAAAGGTAACTTAAATTTACAGTAAATATCATATGCAGCTTTCACATGCTAAGCACTGAAAAAACCTGTTTGCTGCCAGCTCCCTCTTTTACAATGTAAATGCCTCTGACTTGCTGTGTGCCTCTGTTTTCTTTGTGTGCAAGGCACAGCTGTCTCCTTCACGCTGCCTTTCCTCTGATGCATGTTAATCATTTACCTGCCCTGAACAGGTCAACTATTATTTCTGTTCTCTCCCAACCCTCATAGACTTGCTTGATGATTCAAATTACCTTTGCTGCTGAAGTGCATGGAAAGCAAGGACTCTTACGCTTTTTACGGACTCCAGAGAAAATCTGCTGATACAAACGTTGTTGGCATAAAACATGTAAAAGCTGTTAGCTTGCATCTCATTATTATTGTTTTATTTGGTTGTTTTTGTTTGTTTGTTTGTTTTCCCCATTAATGACAACAGTCTTGTATTTTGAAGTGTACAGGTAACCTACTTACTTTTTGTTGTTAGGCACCCCAGTGTCCCATTTTGTCTCAGCCAAGGCAGCCCTATCAGGCATGGCAAAATAGATTTTGCAACACGTGAGAAATATTAGTTGCTGGCTGAGCCACATAGCCACATCCCCGTGCATGACTTATTACTCCTAAGGCTCACAGGGACTCTGCCTGAACAGGGATGTGCTGGTTCCTAAGGTCTGTTTGAAATTTTTCTTGGCAAATGTTTTGGAAAAAAATAGTTTTGAACTAATAATTAAAAGAAAATGTTCTCTTCCGAAAGCTGAATGGAGAAGGGGCTGGTTTGAGTTTTGGGGGGATTTTTCCCTCCTAGGTGAGACATACCGTATTGCTCAATGGTTTATCATATTTTGACATATCCCTTTTGGCCAAACCCAGTGATCTCATTAAAATGCTCTTTCAAAACCCCTAGGATTTCTTCACCTGTCGTAATCCTAGCAATTCCAACAGAAGCATGAAACAAATCCAAAAGGACAAAGTCCTCTTCCTAATCCCCACCCTAATCAATTACTAAGTGATACATGGAGGTTCTGCAGGTTTCCTGTTACACGTTATGTTGGCACATCCCACCTTCTGTCTGTCAGCCTCTCATAATGTTTCCACGCTTATAACAAGCTTTCTATGCTGGTTATGCCTCTTGTAATGTCAAACTTCAGGTCCGATCTTTTTGCAGTCCTCCAGCTCAGAGACCCCCTTCTGCCCCTCCATACTGGCCATATGTTCACTTCACACCATCAGCTCACAGTTCTTTCATCTTGTGTGTCTCTGTACATCATCAAATGAATTTGCTTCTTTTCTTCAGTTTGCCTTCATATCCTCTCCCTACTGCTTGTTTTTGCCAATTCTTTTGACTTGAGCTATCATCTCCATGCTAACCATCTCAAAAAGCTGTAATTTCTAGCCTTCTGTGGACTAAATGGAGCACCTGTTTATACACTAGGAATTCCCAATCACCTTTCTTTGTGCCCCATAATTCTCTAGATGGGAGTCACTGGGGACTGTTACCTTCATCCTAAACATCTTTTAAGAGAGGAGTACTGCCGTCTTTTTGGGGTAGGAGTGTACCTTAAACCATTGAGACAAAGCTGACCAATTGTGCTTTGTTTTTAAACAAGGAATTACTAAATTTTCCCTGTGTTGCTTAGAGCGACATTTAGTTGCCACCAATCCCAGAGCAGTGTCAAGAAGCCACATGGCATGCTGGCAGAAAACATTAGTGAGATCGAGATCTAGGGTCATCTCGAGGAACCCTTGAACGCTGTAGCAGTGGGTATTTCAACAGGCAGAAAAACAGTTGTCCTTTTCCTAGTCATAGGATCACAGAATGGTTTGGGTTGGAAGAGACCTCATAGATCACCTAGTTTCAATCACCCAGCTGTGGACAAATCCACCTTCCACTAAACCAGGTTGCTCAAAGCTCCATCCAACCTGGCCTTGAACACTCCAGGGATGAGGCATCCACAACTTTTCTGGGCAACCTGCACCAGTGCCTCACCACCCTCACAGTAGAGAATTTCTTCCTGATATCTAATCTAAACCTTCAGTCTTTCAGTTTCAAGCCATTCCCCCTTTTCGTATGCCACTCCCCGTCTTTCCTGTAACCCCCTTTAGGCACTGGGATGAGCTATGAGGTCTTCCTGAAATCTCCTCTTCTCCAGGCATAACAGCCCCAACTTTCTCAGCCTTTTCTGATAAAGAGGTGTTCGAGCCCTCGGATCATCCTCAAGGCCTTCTCTGGACTTGCTCACGAAGGTCTGTAACTCTTAGCCCCTATACCCGGAGGTAGGACAGGACGTTCCCGGTCGCGGGGCAGGGGGATCCCGCGGGATAGGAGGGATGCGGGCCTTCCGCCACTCGCTACTGCCTGTGGTATCCCGGCGGTCCCGAGCCCCGTCCGGCCCTCTCGGGAGGGGGCAGGACGGCAGGGTCGGGGCCGGCGACTCTGCCTCCGGAGCGTGCCCCATCGTGGTCGGTGTGCGAGCTGGGCGGGGGCGGTGCGGGGCAGCCCGCAGGGCAGTCCGGCGGGCGGTCTGGGGCAGTGCGGGCAGAATGGGGGGGCAGTCCGAGCTGCGGGGCGGTCCGGGGCGGTCCGTCCCGCCCCGCCCCCGCCCTCGCCTCCCAGTCTCCCGCACGGAGCTGCCGCGCAGTTGGCGCCCGGCGGTGCGGGGATAGGTGGGGTCGCGCGGCTGCCGCGTGAGTGCACCCGGCGGGAGCGGGAAGCGGGAAGCGGGAAGCGGGAGCGCGGGGCGGCACAGGGGGAGGCGCGGGGCAGCGGGGCGCTCTTGGGAAGGGTCGGACGGGATGGGATGGGGCTCGGGCTGCCTCCTTCCCACCTTCCTTTCAAACTCCGTGATTGCGCCCGCTTTCCTCTTGCCCCTCCTGCAGACCCCCGGCTGTGCCGCGCTGAGCTTTTTCCCTTCCCACCTTCGTCTTCTGGCCGCACCAGCATCCCTGGTCCCTGTCCCCGTCTGCACGTTGCTGTGCCTTAACTCCAGACTCTGAGGCAGTGCCCTGTGGTGTCCCCCCAGCCCCACTGAGTGTACCTCACACTCTGCAGTGCTTGGCCTCCAAGCTTTCTGTCTGTGCCCTACACCCCACGGTGTCTGTTTCCCTAAATCCCCTGACTGTGTCTGGCACCCCGCAGTGCCTTTCCCCCAAAACCCTCTAGCTGTGCACCACACCTCATGGTTCCTGTCTGTCGAGGCCCTCTGGCTGTGCCTCACATGCACTGAGATCATCTTCCTGTCGTGATGAACAAATTGCTCCATGGCATGTGCATGGCCTCACTTCATCACGGACTTTATAGTTGAAAAATGCCTTTTGCTCCCCCACCCTTCGCTCTCAGAGAGAAGACTGGTCCCAGGCTTTAGGAAATGGAGGCTTCTTTCTCTCCAAGGGTGAAGGCTGGAGACAGCTGGGGGAGAGGTGTGGCCCATGGTGATATTAATATGTAGGGCTGGAGGGGCAATGTCTAGCCAGGGGTTGTCTGGCAAGTCGTAAGGGTGGCTATCATGGCTTGCTGCCTTCCTCCTCTTTGGAGACAGGTCACCTTTGCTGCTGCGTGTGGCAGGTCCATTCTTGAGGACCAGCCGCATTGCCAGTGAGGCCATGAGCTGAGGAAGCCTGTCAATGCCAGCCTGTGTAGTTGATGAGGCTATGGTTAACCAGTCTCTTAGACTTGTCCTTTGCAACTGTACGTATGTCATGTATGTTGTTTGACAGTTGTATGGATGTTGATAATGAGTTTGTAAATAAGTTTTAAGTGAGTTGAAACTTTGGTTGGGTTTTGGGCATTGCTGCTACCAAGATAGAATTGTGCGATGCTTGAAAATGCATAGTGAAGCTGCAGACCAGCTCTTCCTGTTTCTTGGCTTTTACAGCAAAGCAAGATATGTTAATTGAGGCTGTTCAGACAAACCAGAAAACTTACAGCAACGTATGGATACTCGCTTCCTTACTTCATTCTAATTCACTTCTTCCCAGATCCATGTGTAGGTCTGTATTGCACATTGCCATGTGGGAGAAGTTGGAACAAGTTTTTCTGGTTGTTGGGAGCAGCCTGGGAACAGCGTACTGCCTGATTTATTCTGCTTCTCAACACTTTGGGCACCTCCCAGGACGCATTCAGTCTGCCTTGAAGCTGCCTCAGGTAGAGAAGTAGAGTTGTGGTGTATCAACATGGCATTAGGCAGTGTGGACATACCCTGAAAATGCTTCACTGAGGAATGGGAGCACTTGTACTTATGTGTTTGCTTGAAGAAAGTGTAGAAAGACCTAGGATTTGAAAACCTAGATAAGCATAGGCTTCAAGTGAGGCACTGGCACAGGTTGCCCAGAGAAGTTGTGGATGCTCCATCCCTGGAAGTGTTCAAGGCCAGCTTGGATGGAGCTCTAAACAAGCTGTTCTTGTGAAAGGTGTCCCTGCCTATGCTAGGGAGGTTGGCAGATGGTCTAGATAGTCTTCAAGGTCTCTTCCAACCTGCGCCATACTTTGATTCTGTGAAAGTCTTCCTAGGCAGCACCTCTGTTGCAAGTGTGGGGAATAATGCAAGTTCATGGTGTTTCATTTTAATGCGTAAACTACCTTTCTATTAAATAGTATTTATGTATTGGTAGAGTGAGACAGGTTATGGTACAGGAAGTAATATTCATGGAATGTGTTAAAAAAGATGCCACAGCATTAGTCAAGTAATACATGCCAAATAAGATTTAACTAATTATGAAGCTCACCAAATACCATGAAATATCTATGAACTAATTGCCTACCAGTAGAATTTTCTATATCCTGACTTGACTTGTTGGCTTCTGCTGAGTATGCTCTCCTTGCTGTGCTTTGCCCTTCCTGGTTTTGTTTCCCTCTGCTGCAATAAACCGGGAAACTGTTTTTTATTTTTCCCTACCTTGGACTCCTGCTCTTCCTCTTGAAGCTACTTCTACCCAGTGCATCCGATTTAATGCTTGTATTATCTCTTTCTCTGGCCTTTCCCTGTCTGGTTGCTTAACACACAGATTTCCAGAGGTATAGGGAAATGTAGAGAAAGGCAGAGGGCCAAGCAGTGCATGAGATGGTTATGGAAGGTGTGTGTGGGGTGAGGAAAATGGGTAAGTGAAGAAAGTCACCTCTGTGCTGTGTTCAAAGGCAGGAGGTGGAAGGGAGCCAGAATCTCCTCCTGAATCTTCATTAGCTGCTTGTGAAATCATCTTTGTCGTATTCTGATCTAACTTGGCAGACTTCATGTGGCCTCTCTCCCTGCCTGATGACTCTGTCTCAGCATGGCTGTGAGAGGTTGCTGCCCAGTAATTCTCCTAGTGAAGGCTGGTGTGAGCTCCCTGGTCTGCCTCAGCTGAGATGAGATGGTTTAGCTCCTGACTGTCAGTTAAGCTAAGATGCTTCACTCTGAAGTGGATCAAAGTTGATATGTAAACCTATAGTACACAGGAAAGTATGAATAGGTGGGGTGTTGTCATCTTCAGTGGCACAGCATACCTTATAAAAATAATATTATGGCCCAACACTCATATTCACTTCAGCCTAATGGATGTCTGAAACTTACTTTTCGAAGCTTGAGTAGTTGGAAAGAAAGAAATACTCGTTTCTCTCACTATTCCTCTGTCCCTCACTGCAGAGCTTCACTGTTCTGGTTTCCTGTTGTGACATCACAGCAGGCAGGACACACAAGTGCAGTACTTTCATCAGTTTTATCAGTTTATTACCCAAGTACATATCAAGTTCAAGAATTGACAGATTTGATTATGTTTTTCTCAGCTGCAAGTTATGGACACTCCAAATGCAGTTTTGGTAGGCCTTTCCAAGTATTTAGAAGGAAGTTGCTCTGTGCTTCTGCCCTGATGTGGAAAGGGATGGGAGCTAAGCACTAGGAAACTAGAACAGAGGCTATTACAACTTTAAGAATGATTGTTTCCATAAAATAGATTTAAAATGTGCCGTAAAAGCTTCAGGATTGTCTTAGGTTTAATTTTAGGATCTTTCTGCACATTTAAAATTGCTTTACATGTTATTTAAAAGTTGGGTAGTTAATCTGCATTGTTGTACTGTCCTAGGGAGCAAGTCCCACATGCTTTCCCAGGAACAAACTCCCTCCACTACCCAGGCTCAGTGCTGCATCTCAAGGGCAAATGCAACCTAAATGCTGAAAACTAAACTTTTTACTTCTTAAAAATATTATAGATTATTAGAAAGAAGACAAAGTGTTATCAAACAAGTAATTTTGTAAGCCTGGTTGTACTTTTTTTAAACAGTTCCTTTTAAATGTTCCTTTAGAAGGTAAGAAAATGAAAGCTAAAGGGCCATGCAATAGTTTTAGTTTCTATAGCCTGTTGTGACATGTTCAATCTGCTAAAAGTTTTGCGAAGTCACGAGTAATGTAACAGTTAAGTTTTTTCAATATGTATGCTACTTAGTGGAAATCCAAAAAATAAAAAATAATTTCAGCAGAAATGAAATGCTGCATTTACACTGAAGTTTACCAGAACAACTCAAGTATCTCTTTTCTTTACTTGTCTTTGGTTTCAGTGTGTAATGCTGAGAATTGACATGGAAATACTGAATAGGATTCTTTTATTTTTTGTCTATTTTTTAATGAATTCATATAGTAAAATGCTTTCAATGTGTCTGTCAATGTTTGTCTTTTTTCTTCTGCATGTACTTTGCTATTTTTGCTCTATCTGCTTATGATGATTACACACAGCAGTTTATCACTGAAGATGTTGACTAGAAAAGACCTTTAAGTAGTTCATGAATTGAGTGATGTGAGAAGAATATTCAGCTTACAACAGCATAGATTTAAGTGTCTTGTTGTTCTCTTGGGTCTGTATGAGAATCTGAGGAACTGGATTTCTGTAGTATTTAACTTCAGAATCCTGAGGTAGCACACAAATCTAGTCTCTTAAAAACTACCTGTAAAGCCTATCCAGCTCAAAGCAAACTCTGAGTTTCACCTGTGGAGAGGCACAGGTATCACAAGGAAGACAAAAATAGGTGTCAGTAAACTCTGTGAATCATGTTATTTGCTAGGAGCAATGGTATTCAGGTTGACCCTTTTAACTGTGCCAGGGCTGTATTACTTGTCATAGTAAAAGCTGTAAACATCGACTCTTATCTCCTGTGATACCAGCTTAGGCTGATCTTTTAATATCATTGGCATTTCTTTTATTCCACATGCCCCTTTTTTTTTTTGCACATGATTTTTGTGTCACTTTTCTTTTGTGTTGGCATAAGCCTTGGTGAAGGCTGCTGCTGAGAAGCACTGAGGAACTGGTCTAAGTCAAAAAATACCCTTAGCATTTCTGTGAGGCTGCCTCTCTCACCCTGGGTCTATTTCCCAATCTGTTTTATTATGCAGCCAGAAAAATGGTTGTTCCAGCAGGAGTCAAGGGTGACACAGGAGCAGGTATGAGTAATGGGGAGAGAGGTTGATTAAAATTACATTGCTTCTATTAAAAATGCTCTTATAATTGCAAACTCACCCTGTAAACAGCCAGACTTGCTCTGCTTGAGCGGGCTATGCTCGAGAAACTGCTTGTAGCAGCTTTATGAATTTCTACATGCTGCCTGCCTGCGTTTAATTGTATTGTGAATTCTTTATATTGATATGGTGCTTTACACATTGAGCCCAGTGCCTGGAGCCTCTATTCAAAGTCTTTAAAGCAGTGCCTCACTGACTGTGTGAATG